GGATTATTTTACTATGGACAGAATACTCAAGTATTAACAAACGAAATAATATTTGGTTGACAAATCATTGCTTATCTGTTGCTATGAACAATGATTAAAGTGCAGTTGATCTGATATCAAATTAATGTTCCAAATGGTTGCATTCATGTTATCTCCGCTGACATTTAGCTGAGTCAACTTCTTGGCTTGGAATTTCAGATAGATTTTGTTTTCCAGATTGTGCTGTAAAATTTAATTATAATTCATTTATAATTTTCTGTGTACTGCAGAATTAGTGGCCTTTTTTTAGAGGCCCAACCCACCTACGGAGTTTGTTAACAGGCATCCAGCAAAGTCAGATAACTGTCTTCTATGTCGCTGTGTTTTGGTATTTGCACTTTCTTGCTTTCTGGCTGAGACGAGGGAGTTTCAGCGAGAGCTGATGGAGTGACCAATTGTAGTTCAGTAGCCTTTTCCTTAGTCGTCCTTAATAATATAATAATAATGGCGGTTTCAGCGTTTAGTAGGCCGTTGGCCTGTCGCCGATTCTTAACATCACAGAACATTCACAGTATTTTGCGGTCTCGAACTCGCAACTCACTGCTATATACAATTCTGCTGTGTCTTAACCGCCCGGCCTCCTTGCCGATTCTGACCAGAAACGGCGCACAGAGCTGGGATCGAACCCGCGCCTCTCTGAGGCAATCTTGGTACTCTGAACTCTAACCACTGGGCCACCCTGCCGGTTGGCCGTCCGGTGGTTGTGTTCCCAAAAATGAGCGTTTCTTTGATTTCCACATGAAAACTTCTCAGGCTGAGACTCTGTAATCATTTTCAAGTGATTTAATTTGTGAGAAGACTAGATTCACTGGAATTCACTGTAATGATTTACACTTTGCGGTTTGGTATGGCACACAACACGTCTTCTCACCTCGAGCGGAAGGAGCGAATAAACGAAACTAGGTACATAAAATTGGTATCCTAACCCTTGGGCCCTCAGAAGAAAATTTGAAACAGTGAGTTGGAAGTTCAAGCCGGCAACAAACTGTGGATGTTCTGCATTGTTGAGAATCGGCGACTATCGGCCTAATAAACGCTGAAACCGCTATATTATTATAACTATTTCAAGCAGGTTTCATTGAAGACCAGAGAATTTGTTTTATTCGCAATTTTCTTATTAGTTTTTTCAATATATCGAACAATATTTTTAGTTTGAATTCCAAGACAGAATTCATCTCAAAGGCCAGTCGCAGATTCCTCAGCTGTTCTTCATCTCGAACCACAACGAAGATATCATCGACATACCTGCAGTATAATTCAGGCTTGATCTGTTCATCTGAAAGCACTCGATTTTCAGTTTCGCACATATAGTATTCAGCAAAAGTAGGACCAAGGGGACGTCAGCCTAAACAAATTCTCTGGTCTTCAATGAAACCTGCTTGAAAGAAGAAATTCTGCCAACCTATACTAATTATTATAACTGTAACTCCGACAGACCGACTTCCCAAAAAACTTCCCAATGTCTGCCAGATAACCCAGAATGCCTTGTACATACTCACGAAATGGCCGTCTGGTTGAGACCAAACTGACTATCATACGGTCCGGGGGAGTTAGAGGTCGCGGTCGTAACTTATAGAAACTAACTACAATTGAAACGTAAACATTGTAAGAATATGCCCAGGAAAGCTGGGTTGTGACAGCAGGTTTAATTTTTTAAGGAACGAAAACAGGATCTTATATCTGATGTTTACATGAGAATTTTCAGCAACGAATATATTTTCCGGAACAACATGGTGGGAACAACACAGATTTGCTGAGCAATAATAAAAACGGGACACAACAAAATTTGTATTACTCAGCTCTTGGTACGGTATTCTCGAGCGAATGTCACCTTGTAGTGCATTGTGAAACTGAGAAAACAAATATAACAAGTAAGCGATTTGAATTGGTGAAAAGTGAAATCCTGGAGATAATCATAAATATTTACTATTTATTTGAAGAATGAGCGCAATTGAACGAACGACGCTTTTTATGACGGAGCTCATTTAGTCGCCTTGCAATCAAGGCCAACAGGTGGTTCATTTATGGAAAGTCATTTGCGGCAAAATTGACATGGGATTTAGTTACGAAATCAAGTCTCAATGCATTATAATTTATTCAACTTTAAAATTTTATTGATATTATGGCTTAACTTGCGTCTCACTGTCCTGAGTTATGGCGTATCTCGAGAAGAGAGCTGTAAAGTTACGGACCACAGAGTCATACCGTACCTCGAGAGGAGAGCTACCGAGAAACAGGCAAGATTAATTGTGAGAACAAAACTTGTGAGAAGTATCCTTTTGTACATGAGTGAAGACGAATATTAGGTTACTAATACTGCGGGCTATGCTGTCACCTCGAAGGGTGGCGCAACCGCTATCATGCCATTTTGGTATTGTGCATATCGGCGAACAAACTGTGAATTTTTTCTATCCTGTAAAAACAAATATTGAGATTAGTTAAAGCCAAATTGCACCAAGGTTAGAAAGCTTTGATTTAAAAACTCAAATATTACTTTATTAAACATTAGTGTTATTAAATTTTATCATTGAGCTTATCAACCAACTGATGAGCATTGCTAAAGATCTTGCCTCTTTTTCGGGATTGGTCATCAACACCTAAATATACGAGATTGCTCAATTATATCTAACATTCAAGCAAAGTATAGAGCTCTACGTAATGTGGGCTGGCATTCTATGTTCTTCCTAGTTTTGTTCACGTTTTTTGAGAATATTGGATAATTTGAAGTCATTTATAACGTCGAGCAGTCACTTGTTCCGAAGATTGTGCGCGTTTCATAGTTCATAGATGGCATAAAGGCCGATCAACAAGTTTAAAAGTTCACAGCGATCACGACTTAATTTCCAATAATCTTTTTTTCATTAGATAAAGTACGTCTAGAAGATTTTCTTACCTTCGGATACGAATTTTTTCTGGTGATGCTCACGCTATTCGAAAATGCCTCTGCGTTTGGAGTTCACCGAGCATTAGGCCGCAACTCTTGCTGGCACCCATGAGTGCGTCATGAGCGCGTCACGAGCGTGTCATGAGCGCATCATGAGCGTATTATGAGCGTGTTATGAGTGTGTCAGTAGGTGATGTTGCTGTATATAGGAAGTTATTGATAACGTGGAAGCACACATTTCCACCCGAAACTTTTTATTGCGTGGAAGTCTCGGGCAGTTTCTAGATCTCCGGGAACCGAGTCAAGAAGAATGCAGGGATCGCCGACAGGCCAAACTTCCTCCACTCTTCATCGAAGACATTACATTGCTATACTTTACGATCCTTCATTCTTACGAGGAGATGGACACTTTGCGTGAGATTTCCGAATTCTAGCACTGCAAAGCTAAAACTTTCATTACTCCACCGTGATCTTCTATAACTATATAGCGCGAGCGCATAGCAGACAACTTCAGCGATGGTGCAGACAGCCCCGCCCTGGGCGTTGGTGGCCGCTATTGAGTCCGTGGACCAGGTGGACAGGTGGCCTTTACATCACAAGGCAGGTGGTCGCTGCTCTGCAAGCTGCGCGACTCGTTTCTTCTCTTCAGTTCCGCTTCACGGAACTCGTCAAAATGAGGGCAAAAAAGTGAAAAATTGGCTGACGTAAATTCTTTTATTTACAAATTTTACTTCTTACGGCCAGGCTCTTAACATTCAGTTAGAATTCAGAAATTTTTGAATAAAATGAAACAAATCATGAGTCATGTTGAAGAGCTTCAGGTTCGAGGTCGTGAGAATGACTTGCGTTTTTTCTCACTGCCGTCGCCTGTGGACATCTCAGTGTTTCATTCACAATGTGTCTATCTTTTCCTAAGATTACAGAGCTCTGAACTTCTTTTAAGAGCAAATCAAATTTAATACAAAAATCGCTTCAAAAGTGAATGATTTTTTAGCGTACATTGATTGGAATATTTGGCTTAAATTATTTATGTATAGGTAAAATGTGAGCCAACGTAAAAAGAAAACTGTAGGGATGAAAAAATTATTCAATTCTATAAATTGAATGATCCTATTGGTGTAAAAATTTCAGAAGGTACGAAATCATTGAAGAGGCAATACTAATCGATTGTTGCCGTCAGCCTCACGTCTGATGTTAGATCCTAAATCCCTTTAAAATCGAAGACATAAGATCGTCCTTAACAATTCAAGTGACTCGCCAAATTTCCCATACAGCGTGCAAATAAATAAATTTAAAACCAGTCTATTTCAAGTGAGATTTCATAGTAATACGTAAGTAAATTAGAGCAGAATGAGTGCAGACTAAATAATTCTGTAGAATGGTTGAATACTTTCACTTGATGCCCAGGCACCGTTATGAGGCATCGCTTCCTGCTGCCGCAGCGGCACAGACGAGGGGCGACGCGTCCGAAAAAGGCGCTGCTTGGGGCAACTATGCCGTTGTGGGCAGGAGGAGGCATGTCTGCGGGTGGCGGGGAGGGGGGGAGGGCTACAATGGGGCTCTAATGAAGAAACCCGACTTGTGGCGGAAGGCCGGACTCTAACCGTGGATAGCAGTTCTAGGGGACCGAAACCAGCCCGAGGAAAGTAGACTGGCTCGGCTCTAGTGGAGGAGACTGGTTCTAAAGGAGACAGGTTCTAGGAGAAGACAGCGGTTCTAAGGGAGGACTTCGGTTCTGGAAGAGGAGACTGGCTATAGGGGAGAACGACAGCGATTCTAGAGGCAGACAGGGGTTCAGCGAGAGGAGGCCTGCTTTAGAGGAGGAAAGCGGTCCTAGGAGTGGAGACCAGCTCTGGTTGAGGAGACAAGGTCTGGTGGAGGAAGCCGGGTCTGGTTGAGGAGACCGGGTCTGGTGGAGGAGACCGGGTCTGGTGGAGGAGACCGGGTCTGGTTGAGGAGACCGGGTCTGGTGGAGGAGACCATGTCTGGGGAAGAGGACAGCTTTAAAGGACGGCCACAAGCTCTAGCTAGAGCGCGGGGACCGCCTTGATGGGGCGTGGCAAGGTCGTTTTAGGCGCGCATAAAAGCGAGCGGTGCAGCCCTACACACGTCACTTCTTCCTGAGCTACAACATGAACTGCTACACCTTGGTGAGTAAGAGGCGTGAACTGCTACACTTTTGTGGGTAGGCTAAAGGACCTGTTACACCTTTATGAGACACGAACTGCTACACCTTGCAAAGTAACGAACATATCTGCTACACCTTTGTGAGACACGAACTGCTACACCTTGCATAGTAACGAACATATCTGCTACACCTTGAAAGTAACGAGCATATCTGCTACACCTTTATGTGTCATGAACGGCAATGTTTTGTAAAGTAATAAACATATCAACTGCACCTTTATGTGACACGAACTGCTACGCCTTGGTGAGAAGGCCCCATTGAAGGAAATTTGCTCCAATTTCGTTTAATGCTGTAATTTACAAAAAATCATGAAGTGAACTCAGAAGACTTTTAATAAGCTTTTATTAATGTTGTTTTACCAAAGATATTTAGGTGAATGCTTTGCAGTCTACCTTTGTAAGCAAGAAGACGAGTCGTGTGCAGATTTAGTTCTAGCTCATGTGTTGAATCTGAGTGTTAAGTTGTGATGGCATAACAGGGAGAGAAATGATGATGGAAGTGGGAAGTGAAATGGACTCGGATTTATAACATACGATCATCGTGAAACATAAGACCATCTATCGTCTCAAGTTACGACCACCGGATAACATATATGGACCATCGTATAGCTTACGACCATCGTATCGTTTACGACATTCATACAGTCTATCCCCTTTCTCAACTGCGGGTCATTTATATCCTCAGGATGAAATAACGTTGACTAGCTTTTCTCCATATAATATAGTTTCAATATTATACAATGTAAATATAAAACCATAACAAGGTGCTGAATGACGTAATTAAAACGTAAATAACGCGATATTTTAACGCAGTTACAGTATTATATAATTTTAATATAAAACCATAACAAGGTTTTATATGACAATAATTCAAACGTAAATAAGGCGATATTTTAACGCAGGTGCTGCTAGTGAGCTGCGTGGCTGCGGTGAGCGCCGCCCCCTTCATTGACGCCGCGGGGTGCCTGGTGGGGCCCTCAGGCAAGGTGTGCTCCACGGGCAACGTGCAGTTCTCGGACGCAGGGAGCCCCGTGCCTGCTGCCGCCCCCAGCTTCCGGGCCCCAGTGCAGCAGCCCAGCGTGAGTCTGGCCCAGCACAGAGCCCAGCAGCAGCATCAGCTGGCCCTGCTTCGACACGCCGCCACCGCGAGCTTCACGGGCCTCGTTGGGCCGTCGGGAGTCATTGGCCCGTCCGGACTTGTGGGACCCAGTGGGCCTCTTGCATTTGGTCGCTAAATTATAACGAAAAAATAGAAATTTTTGTACAGTTTATTCAGTACAAAATAGATTCCAATTCATTATTATTAAGAGCCAGAAACTTTATTGTGTCCCGCGACTCATGGAATTCTGCTACTATTCGTAAACCCATAATCGTACAAACCAAGTCTGTAATTTAATTACTTTAACGTACGAATACGGAATACAGTTCATTAGTTATCTAAAATTTTACTTTATTGGACAACCGAAATTATAATCCACAAATTTATTTCTGACTATCTGACGCTATTCAGCGCTCCTGAAATAAATTAATTACTAAATGAGCTTATAAAAAGACTTTTTCGTGAATTTGTGAACTATGAATTCCTATTGTGAATAAAAAATGTGACAACGTAATGATGAGTTTTACTTCCATTGCGTGTAACTTGCTGAGCTCCTCAGCAGGGCGTGAGAATTGTAATCAGATTATCGGCGCTTAGATCACAACATCAGATTATCAGATTATTTATATCATTATCAGATTATTGTGATCAATCAGATTACTTTGATCAATCAGATTATTGTGATCAATAAGATTATAGTGATCAATCAGATTACTTTGATCAATCAGTGTGATCAATCAGATTATTGTGATCAATCAGATTACTTTGATCAATAAGATTATTGTGATCAATCAGATTATTGTGATCAATCAGATTATTGTGATCAATCAGATTACTTTGATCAATAAGATTATTGTGATCAATCAGATTATTGTGATCAATCAGATTATTGTGATCAATCAGATTACATTGATCAATCAGATTATTGTGATCACTCAGATTAATGTGAGCAGATTATTATGATATTATCAGATTATTATTGTGATCAAATCAGATTATCGGCGCTTAGATCACAACGAGGAAACTAACGCGAGTAAAACACAACACCGTGGCGTAGGAAGTTCCTATGTAGTATCTGTTCAGTTCCTAGTACAGTCCTGCTAATCCCTGTTCAGTTCCTAGTACAGTCCTGCTAATCCCTGTTGAGTTCCTAGTACAGTCCTGCTAATCCCTGTTGAGTTCCTAGTACAGTCCTGCTAATCCCTGTTGAGTTCTTAGTACAGTCCTGCTAATCCCTGTTGAGTTCTTAGTACAGTCCTGCTAATCAGCAGAGATGAAATGAAGATTTCTCGCCTGCCAGCTCAGAACTTAGTTAATTATGGTGTTAACATACACAGGTTTGACAGGGGGGCCAGTGATTTCAGAGCCCCCCTAATTCGAGCAGCGAGTTGTGTGTTTGAGTCCAGCTGCTGGCTGTGGAACTTCTGCGATGTTCGGAGTCGGTGAAATGTCAGATAATAATACCAATAAAAGTATAAATTTTTATTATTATTATTATTATTTTATTACTATTGTTATAAGTACAATTAATTTTTTTCTATGGTTGATTTTACAAATCTCTGAATTGGCCGGTATGGCCGGGGCACAGGTAAACCTGATCAATATCCGCACTTACGATGAACGAGTGTTGATCACTTGCTTTAAATGTCGTGTACACGGGCAGGTGGCCGTCTTGAATGTCATGTACACGGGCAGGTGGCCGTCTTGAATGTCATGTACACGGGCAGGTGGCTGCCTTGAATGTCATGTACACGGGCAGGTGGCTGCCTTGAATGTCGTGTACACGTTCAGTTTGCCGTCTTGAATGTCGTGTACACGGTCGGGTGGCCGTCTTGAATGTCGTGTACACGGGCGGGTGGCTGCCTTGAATGTCGTGTACACGGGCGGGTGGCTGCCTTGAATGCCGTGTACACGTTCAGTTGGCCGTCTTGAATGTCGTGTACACGGTCGGGTGGCCGTCTTGAATGTCGTGTACACGGGCGGGTGGCTGCCTTGAATGCCGTGTACACGTTCAGGTGGCCGCCTTGAATGTCGTGCATACGGCCTTGAGTGCCACACCACCGCACAGGCGAAACCTGCAGTTTTGGTCCGTTTTCTTATGCCGTGTAATCCGGTTCTGTTTTTCTCATCCCGTGTAGTCCCGGTGCGTGTTTTTACGCACGTCAACTCAAGGCCTCGTCCTATAGATAGAAAATCTCCACTCAGAAATATGAACGGGTCGTAGTAGTCAAATGGTGACACAAATTTCTGCACAGAGCTCTGATGAGCTCTAACGCTCACCCAAAATAGATAAGGATGAACCACACTACGATAAAAACAGCGTCGCTATTTAAACCAAGACTCACTCATTTCTCCTAGTGTGTATATAGGGAACATTCGATGCGGTGTTGAGAGGACTGAGCCGTTCGTGAATAGACGTAATATCAGAATAATATCAGAACCTATGTCTCAAATATCGCTGTTTGTTGGTTAATACAGGCTAATACGTATCATAGTAGATAAAACTCAGCTGTAACCTGTAACTTGTCGTAGATACCGGCCTCCACTCGCGTATACACAGAGAAATGAAGGAGACATTGACCAAATAGCAATGCACTTTTTACCGTTGTCTTGGTGGTTACTGCCACTCAGTTTGGCCATCTCTGCTCGTTTTCTGGGCAAGGCTGTGTGTCATTATTTAGGTTTTATATAGAGTTTCAACAGCTTTTCAATTTTTCTAAAAACTTCCTTTTCAGTTACACTTAGATAGCCGAAACGTTAGAATATATGGATTTTTATTTCAGAACTGCGATCGTGTCTTTTTTATCCAGAATCATTATTCTACGCCTAAGTGTAATTGAAAAGGAAGTTTTTAGAAAACTTGAAAAACTGTTGAAACTCTATATAAAAATAAAAACCGATTTATTATTTCTGTATTTAGGTTTTAGACAATATGATCCATCTCTTTTCTATGTATAAGCTTTTCCTAGACAGAGTTGCTGCGAAGTCACGACCGCGTCATCTGTGACCTGTCGAGCGTTCGAAGTCGCCAGGATATATTGTTTTCACTTTTAATGAAAGATATTTTCAAATAGTTGAAGAACTGTTTTATTATGCTTGTCTAATAGGTTTTTTCATTTGACGTGTGCAAATGAAATGTTATTTTCATATTATTGTAATTATTTCATTGCCATCAGAACTCGTTAGATGCAATTTTGCTGGCTCATATACACCGACGACCGATAAGAACTAATACGATGTATAGAGTGTATTTATTGCATGGATGTCGTATACACATACGAAATTTTTTTCTGGCTGGAAGGAACGCTTCGGGCGGGAATTGGCACCCGAAATAATTTACAGACTCGATTCAGAGCTGCTAGGTCTTAACGTTCGAGAAGCCGCCCATCAAGGACAAAAGAAATGAGTAATTACCCGCATGAAAATAAACCATAATTTTATTACATGCTTTTCATAAATATAAATATATTTTCTTTGATTAATTACCTCACCCTGGAATTATGGATTATCCAGATCGAATTCCTGCAATGGCCCTGAGTCGTCATGCATGGGCCTGCTGTGATCACCACCAGATTCCGTTCAGAATTTTTATCCACTTTGTCAGTTTAGTAATAAATTTACAATTATAATGAGGATTTACATGTTGCTTTATCTTTGTCAGTTTAGTAATAAACTGACAATTATAATGAATATTTTTATGTTGCTTTATTGTCTCTGTTGGTTCAGTAATAAATTTACGATTATAATGAGGACTTACATGCTGCTTTATTGTCTTCTATGCTTCTATGGGCTGAGGCCTGCGTCGCTGAAACTGAGAGTGCGAGTCCCAGCAGCAGGGCGGCCTTGGGATCTGGAGCGGCAAGTCCCTCAAGGTTGCTTCAACGGAGCAATTATTTAGTCTCTCTTGAAGGCCGCGCGTACCTCAGACAATAAAACAAACAAAGCGTGGCGTTATTGTTCATGTGGCAGCATGAAGGATTTCATAATTTATTTGTTCAATAATTTTTCCGATTTTTGAATACTAAAAGTCACATCGTCTATAGAATATTTTGTTTATTTTTGAAAGCACACCGGAGCCCAAATTTTATGATGTACTTTAACAGTCAAAGTGTCAGTGGACGTACCAGATGACTAAAGCATCAGATCATCATTTAATCATCAGATCATCATTTAATTAGTACCAGAATTATAGATAATTTTCAGTGAATGTATCTTCTTCACTGTCTGTACGGGACCCGGCAGCGCTCTTCACACGGCACTGGCCGAACTCTTCACCCGGAGCTGCAGTTCAATGTGGGTAAAACCTTTAGGATTGTGTGGGTTGCCTTGTAAATCAAATGCAGGGGTGCGCCCTATTTTACTAATAAATATGTTGACGACATGGATGCTTACGTTAGCACCACATAGGTTGACAACATGTATTCAGAGCTGGGCAGCGCTACTTGGAACTGTAGCGGCGCTACCGCTACCGCTACATGCTCTAAATGTAGCGGGCGCTACCGCTACCGCTACACCCACTAGATTGTAACGGGCGCTACCGCTACCGCTACAGTAAAATGTAGCGCGCTACATTAGCCGCTACAATGGCCAAAATTATTGGAAATCTCTAAATATTTATTGTTCTGCTATTG